CTATCTGGAGATAGTGTCAGCCTACAGGTCAAAATCTCAATACTACACAAGATCGCACCACCCCACCCCCACTTCTGATGCCAATCACAAGTTGTAGGTCTCCAGGTTATTCACAACTTCTGTCCAACTTGGCTACAAATCAGGGATTCCCATAACCCCCTCCTTGGTTTTGATTAATTTGCTAGAGCAGATCACAGAACTCAGGGAAACACTTAAGTTCACCAGTTTATTAAAGGATACAGATAAATAAATAGATGAAAAGATACAAAGGTGAGGTCTAGGAAGGTACTGTGAAGTTGGGTGTATCACCTTCCCGGTACATGGATGTTTTCACCAACCTGGAAGCTCTCCCAACCGCATACTATTGGGAATATGCAGTCTTCTTCATATAGGCATGGTCAATTATTAAATCCATTTTCAACCCCTCTCCCCTCTCTGGAGGGGGTAGGGCTGAAAATTCCAAGCTCCGAATCATGACTTGGTCTTTCTGGTGACAGCTCCCATCTAGGAGCTTAACTAGAGTTGCCTCATTAGAACAAAAGATGCTCCTAGTGCTCTTACCACTTAGGAATTTACAAGGGTTTCAGGAACTCCCTGCCAGGAATCCGGATCAGAGACCAATATACAGGCAGACCTTGCTTTATTTTGCTTCACTTATGTTACATTTCTTTTACGAATTGAAGGCAAGACTCCCAACCAGTAAAAAGATTCCAACTTTATTGCAATACTCACCTTATTGTACTTGTCTAAAACTAAACCCACAATATCTCTAAGGTATGCCCATATGTATTTTCTATTACCTGAGAGCTGACAACTTTAAAGCCTTGGCTCTCCTTCTTCCCCATGTGTCCCACATCTGTACAAGGTGATTAAAAACAAACAAACAAAAACGCCTGGCTCCTCACTCCTTCGGCACTGGCAAGAGATTAAATCCAAGAAAGCCCCCTCTGTGTGTGAACTCTCAACCTAGCCTACCCCCTAACCTCAATAAAAAACACAAGCCAGACTCCTTTCCTTGTTCTTTCAAGCCATTTCACACCTGTTTGAGAAGCCTATCCTGCCCTCCCCAGACACCTCAGTTATGGAAGTCATAAACCTTTTCACAGTTTCTGTTAGGTGTTGTTAGTCTCTACTACTCAACCAAACCTTGGGTGGGGTTAGGAAGTCCACCTTTCTCTACACATTGTAGGAAATGTAACACGATGTGTGTATTACAGTATACTTTGCTTATTTGTTCTGTAGGTAAATCCTCCAGATCTTTTCATACCAATACCCTTTGTCTTAGAAGGAAAAAAAGTACATATTATGATGAATCTATATAACCCATTCTTTCTAGACACTTGGCTTGTTACTAATTTTTGCTGCCAAAATCATTAATGAAAACTTGGATTACCACATTATGGGACGAACATATGCAAATTATGTTCTTTTTCAACCTTAACTCTTAATTTTTTATCATCAAATATATTCAAAACAGACTGTACAAACCGTGTGGTGGTAAGACTTAGTAATAACAATATGAACATCCTTGGAATCATCATCAAGATTCATAAGTGGCCTGTGGGCAGTGGCGAGGGTGTCCTGATGTCCCCGCTCCTGACTCATCTCTGTCCTGCCCCACAGACAACCACTGTCCTGATTCTTCTCCATACTTTTGCCATCTATTATTTTTCACTAAGCAGTGTTCTTTCAGTTTTGCCTTTGACCTTTCACTGGATGAATATTAAAGATTTTCCAGTGATTACTTTGCCTCATATGTTTCACACATGTTGGCATCTGAGGCGTCGGACCTGGACTAGGTTTGGGGGTTCAAACTTCCCACCAGAGCCTAGTGTCCCTGAGACCACAGGAGTGTAATTTAAAGAACCAGATGAGTGGGGGCAAGGGCAACCTCTCTCTGATGGAACAAGATCAAAATGGAGCCAGACCCATCATTATGTATGATAAGGTTACTTTTAAGTGTCTGTGATTGGAAATAAGGGTCACAGTTCCGTCGAGTGGCCTGGCGGCCTTATAGTTAAACACGGTGTCATTAGAGAGGACAGGTTCTGACTTACTGCCAAGACGAGGTCGGCTCAACGGTGAGACCTCTGGCCTGCTGTCACTCAGGCGGGAAAAGGTGGGGCTTTGCGAACTGTCCAATCAGAGGATTCGCAAGTAACGTACGTGAGGGCGGAGCTCTGATTACGGCATGGTTGGCGTGGACTGCGTACTCATCACTTCTCTCTCCAGCCGCGCTGGGATCCTCCCTGGCTACCCTTAAAGGCCTTAGGCGGCTCTGCCCCATCCTCTGCCGCTGTGACCTGCACTTGCCGCAAGAGTCATACAGTGGAAGACAGGGAACCCCAGAAACAGAAATGGTGAGCGTGTGGGGCTGGGTGTTGGACGATGGGGAAGTAGGGGTTGGTGGAACCAGTGTGGCAGGACCTGGCCTCTTTGCGGTCACTCCGGAGTTTTCGGACACAAGTCCGCCGAGATTGCGGCACGCAGCGTCCGGGCTCCGTCCGCAGCCGGAACCCGCAGGAGTTTTTTCCGATCGCTGTGCGGCCGCATCTCCCCCAGAATTTGCGGTGACCACCGGGAGGGTTAATAGGGGGACAATCGCAACTCAGTCTCTGGGTTTCCTACATGGCAGGAGCTGTGGTCTGTGGGGACTCCAGGCCCTCCTTTCTCCCCAGCGACACTCATTTTTTCCTGAGCTTTCCAGGTGTTTGAGGAGCAGGGCCTCAATCCACGACCTTCTTCCCAGCCTAGATCTTCCTGGGACTGGAAGTAAATCCCTAAATTTCCAGATCTTTCCCCGGCATTTCCGATCGCCATCTTCTCCTCTCCAGTTCAAAGTACCATATTAACTGTTTGTCCTCCGTGATGCATTTCACACTATGCAGTATTTTGTTTATCATTTCTCCACGCAGGCATGGATGGCCCTTTTTAAAGCTTTATTTTTGGTCTATGGATGTTTTACATAGAGAAAAGTCAAGAATAATTAGGTGGAACTGTGTTGTATAAAAAACCTCGTGCCTCTCCCCCCAGGATCTTTTCTGGGCACAGACATCCTACGGGTGTCCCTTTTTGGAAACTTTCCTGGGTGATCGGTCCTTACATCACAGTTCCAGGTCAGCACTGCTCCTCTCTGGGTTTGTGACTTTACTCACTTTCTAAAGAGGCAAGAAAGAGGTGAATTTCAAGGGGTGGGAGAATTCCATTATTGAATTCCATTTGTTGAGGTTTTTTCCTTTTTTTTTTTTTTTTCCATGAATGGGTATAGTAACATTCTGAGATCTTTTCTTTTGGGTAATTCCAAATGCAGTAGCTGGGCTTAGACTCACAACACCTAGAAGTATATTCAGTATGATTATTTTCCAAACGATTATGTGCCATGGAAATAATTAAATGACATTTATTTTCAAAAAGGAATCGATATTTGCAGGTTTTCTTGTTGAACTAGAAAAACACCTTACAATTTTCTTCCATCCTTTACACATAAACACTGGATTTGAGTGATTTTACTGGATTGTTCAAACACTGGACTTGTGTATTTAAAATATCACTTGTGGTCCAGAGCAACTCAGTAGAAAACAGAAGCCTGAGGTCAGTGTCTCCACGCTAAGGCCCCCTTGACCTGCAAAGGCAAGTACTTAAAGTCCCAGTGCTTCTCCCTGGGGAGGCTCCCCCTGCAGGTGTCCTACCTGCTCAAACCCACCGTGGAAGAAGCCTTTCTGCTGACAGAAGCTGCCCTCGAGAGCTGGGGGTGCAGGGGTTGGGGGCAGTGATTACCTTTCAAAGGTTGTAACTGTTTCTAGACATATGCTTCAGTGTTGCAGCCACAGTGTAAGTGCACTCAGAGTAATTTGTGGAAGTTGAGAAAGTCTGTGAAGGTCAGTTCTGTCTTTTAGACAAAGGGTTTATGAATCTGGGAGTTTTTCTGAGTGAGAACCTTACACTGAATCTGGCTAAGAGTTTCCTCACTTGTGAGAATTAAAACCTGAGAAAGAGGGGCTTTGCATCACCTCAGGAGGGCATGTGGAGCTTCTAGAGATCATTCCTGTGGCTACTCAGGTGTCCCCCAGCCTTCCATCATCAGGGACCAACCTACTTTAAGGGTTGTATCCCAGCAGGGGTAGTGTGGACTACAAGCTTGAGAATATGGGTTTTCTTCTGAACTGTGGTAAGCAGACTGCTTATCTCACCCAATTCAAAGATTTGCATTTCTTTCTTTGGATACTCATAATACTGCATTTTGCATCTCTGAACTGTAGTTTTCCTTAGCAGTTTGTCATATTATTTCCTGGGTGAGTGTGTAAGATTTGTAGTTCTTGGGCTTTGAAAATGTAAATTGATTGAGAGAAACATAGGAGTAAGGCAAGAAATTCTGGAACTAAACAAAATATTTGTTCCTTTTAGGCAAGAGGGCCTCACGATATGAGACGGGTGTATTTGTGCTCTCAGGTGGATTTTTTTATATTTTAGGTAAAATTTGGTATGTGCATGTCCCTAGAGAGCTCTAAAAATTTAAATGCTATAATATTGCTTAGGCATAAGGGAAATGAATTCCTATTTTAATTGATAGGAGAAAAACTACTCAAAACTTAATAAATCTTTGAAAATCCTGATGTATTTAATGGATTAGGCCCAAATCCCTAGTGTATTATAATGCGCTTTTATTCTTGAAATAACCCCCCATGTGATATATAAGGAAAAACTATCATGCCTCTTCTTATTTTGGTTAGAAGGAGACTTGAGATTTTTCATTTTTTATGATTTAAACTTGTGTAAGCATTAGCGTTTAAAGAATTAAATCTTAGACTTGTTTCCTATGTGGAAAAGAAAAAAAATGGATAAATTTAAAATTAAATTTTAAAAGCAAAAGTAATTTCAAATAAAGGCTATTAAATAGAATAAATATGGTTTATATGTATTACTCAGCTTTTAAAAAATAATGCACTCAACAGTTAGCCAAAGTCGTAAGATAAGATCTGAAGTTGACTCACCACCTGAAAATCCTGGTCCCCTCCAGACTGGCTTCAGCCACCCCCAATAACCAGTGTTGAATTTCTTGATCATCCTGTTGTTTCTTTATATGAAAGCAAGCGATTGTGAGTGCATATTTTTCTTACTCACCTTTGTGCTTATAATGAGCAATTGGACCTCCACGCTTTCTGATATCTGACTGCTCATGGCTGAAGCCTCCCCCTCCCTCTGCCCCTTGAGCCCCTACCTGGACAAGCTGATGAGAAAGTCTGGGTGATCTCTCCTATGGAGATGGCAAGAAATTCAGATCACACAAGCCCCTGCCCTTGGGCGAGGATTCTTGCCCCAGCCCCAACCCACAACCACAGTGGACACCCAGGCCAGGCTCCTTTCCTTGCTGTCTGAAGCCAGTTCAGAGCTGCTTGAGAGGCCGCCCTGCCCTCCCCCTGGGAACTCAAGTTATGTGATCACAGGCCTCTTCCTACCACTCCTGATGTGTGCGTGTGTAAATACATACGTATATATGTACGTGTGTGCATACCACATTGTCATCAGTCTCAAGGGAACCACCCCTCTGCAGGTGACCATACAGTTGGCTCCATGAGCAGCATGGCTTGACATGACTACCCAGTGGGTCCTTGTCTCGCTCTGACCTGCTCGCCTGCTCTGCTGCCTGGTGGTGGCCTCACTGTGGGCTGCTGGAGACTGGGGTGCTGGGGCTGTGAGCTGTGCCGCACCATGGGGCAGCACGGACCCTGCCAAAGCCCAGTTCTGTATGCAGCCAGACAGAGTGTGCAGGTTCAAGAATTCCTAGGCCTTTGGGAGCAGAAGGGCGGGCTTGGGGCCCTCAAATTAATCCCGGGTTGATGTCTTTGTTGAGATGTATCAGAGTGAAGCTGTGACAGAGGCTTGATTAGCCCAGACGTAGAAGACACAGGTGGGAGAGGGGGTCTATGTCCTGCATAAGAGGTGGGCCCTTTGGGTGTTCGCTCCTCAAAGAGCAGTTCTGTGAATGAATGAATGAGTGAATGAATATTAAAAAATAGAGAGAGAAGAGGGAAAGGCAGCCAGTGGGTGGCAGGCTGATCCACACGCGTTTGTTTCTACACTCCTGATTCCAAAGGGATCCCGCTAAATTTAAGCAAGATGCCCCCAATAATGTTAGTGGAGTTACTGAATAAATACAGAGTGCAAATAGGGATGTTTCACCTTAACCCTGAGAACTGTGGTCTTACCTAAATTCTCCATGGTCATAGCACCCATTGTCTTAAAATAGACCACAACGAGCAGGATAGGTCTGAGCCAATGAGTTATAAATTAAATTGTAATGTAGTCTTTGGCAGTTTCAAATTATACTAACAAAATGGGACCCCTAATGTAACTTAAACAGGGCCTGGAAGGATTGTGAACCACTGTGCACCTGTTCAGTGAAGAAGTAACGATTACCCCTCTGCTCCATTGAACAGCTGAATTTGGCCTTTTTTTTTTTTTTTAAGATAGCAGGTTTGAATTTATTTAACTTTATAGAATAAATTTCTGAATGAGCTTAACATGCTGGAAGATCCTGTGCTGCCTGGTGGAAGAGCAGTCTTTTAGATAACTTAGTAACTTTTTATTAACATCATAAATAGTTATTACCCCATCTAACTATAGTTGGCAAAGATGAATTTTTAGTTGACCTGACCTTCAGCCTGGAAAGAATAAATGACACCTCATTGCATAACTGCACTCTCAACGCTGTGGTCGCACCAAATCAGTCCCTATTCCCAGCCCCCAACGTTATGGAAATTATTTACTGCACCCACTTAGCAACTGGTAAATATCCTACTGTCACACATTTGACTCTGCTTGTTCTACTCAGTACCTATGTCAGTAGCCTCTCAGCTGCCGGTGGCCTTTACCTTTGAAGGAACATGATTCGCCTTTACCTGGCTCCCTTCAGGGAACCTCAGCACCACTGCCACCATACACAGTCTCTGCAGGGAAGGTCTGAGCTGTATCCACCTTGCTTCAGGAGCACAGGTGTGATGTTGAACTAATGACATCTATTGAGGATTTCAGGACATAAAAATTTTGACAGAGCTCATAAAAAGGTAAGAGGCCAGTATTATGTAAATGAGGTGAGGCCCTGGTACCTCGTTTAAATTCCTAAAAAGTGTTTGGTAATCTGAGCCCTGCTCCCTCCTTGTCGTGGTGAAGAAATAGCTGTTGTCCCTCTCAGCACCCACAACATTATCTGGATCCTTTGGTGTTCTGGAGGCAGCATGTTCTTTGTTTACACACTGTACTTGAGTCTATTTATACTGTTTCTTGCAGACTGGCCCACCTCAAATAGGTATCCCAACAACAAAACAGAAAGGCTCTGGACTTGGTCACATTGCCAGGCAGG